ATTCACATATTGCTCTGCCACTGAGAGAGAGGCGGCAGCACTGCCATGCTGTGGACAGAGGGAGAGGGCTCAGCACTGGGTCAGGTAACACCAAGGGATCACTCAGTCCCCCCTGGCTCATCATGGTCCCCAGCATAGCAAATCCCTTGCTTGCTGCTTTTGAAGTGTGCAAGACAGGTACCAGTCATGGTTCTACCTGCCCAGCACCAAAGCAGTGGCTGCCCCAAGGAGCCATCACTCACCTGCTGTGCCAGAGCAGCTGCCAGTAGTTGAATAGCCTCTGCCTTTGCCCTGGCCTTGACCAGCATGGCGTTGGCTTCTCCTGCAATGAACCACAACAGAACACACATCAGAACTGCCACAAAGTACTTGCAAGGAGAAAAATCAAGGCTATTTCATGCGTGCAAAACCTCCTCTTCCCCAACAGCAGCGTGGCTGTGTTCCTGCCACACACCTCCTGCTGCCCCAGGCTGCGGGATAGCCACACACACAGCTTGAAGGCCCCAGTAGGGAAGGATCAGCGTGGCTGAGGAAGCCTGGCACACAAACAGTGATGTGGTCTCTTCCCAGGAGCATCACCCCTCAGTGCAGATGGCTATGGACCCCCAAATCCTAGCCTAGGCGCACTACCAGCAGCTTTGTTGATCTGTTCAGCTTTCTCAGCTTCTGATGCCAGGATCTGGGCCTGCTTCTGCCCCTCAGCCACGTTGATAGCCGATTCCCTCGTCCCCTCCGACTCCAGCACTGTTGCCCGCTTCCGTCGCTCTGCCTCCACCTGCAAACACAGGTTGGACACCACGGCCATGCTGGAGAAATCCCACCCATGGGGCAAGACAAGAGACTTTTCCCTCTTGTTCCAGACCACCCTCCTAGGGAGCCAAACCTGCATCTGCATAGATTCTTTCACACGTGGGGGTACATGGATGTCCTTGATCTCGTAGCGCAGGCACCGGATGCCCCAGCAGTCTGAAGCCTGGTTGATGGCATCCACAATGTTGGCATTGAGGGACTCACGCTCCTGGGAGGCACAAAGGGAATGGCAGAGAGCAAAGAAGAGGTGCTCAGGATGAAACAGAGATCAAGGGGAAAACAGACACCGTCCCTCACAGGCCACAGCCAGCCAGAAAACCCCATCTCCGCAAGCATAAAGCAGTGTCACGTGCTTCCCACATTTCTTGAAGAGGTCTCCATTTCCTAAGGAGGGCAGTGCCCCAAGCTGAAATTGCTGGGACACAAGCACCTGGTGTACATCTGGATGCAAACACTGTGCAGGAATGCCAACAGCTCCTGTTCCTGCTCAGCAAACACGGCATGAAGGTTGCAGCCCCCATGACCCAGGTCAGTCAGGTCATTAATTCTGGGCTTGAGCAAAGTGTCACCGCCTCAAGAGAAACGCATCTGAACCAGCTGGGTCTGGGCACACGCTACCCTATCAACCTTTCCAACTAACCCAGGGCTGGGTAAAAAATAGCTCCTGTTGGAAAAAAATAACCAAAATGGACCCATCTCAAAGGATTCACTAATAGGTCAACTGGAAACAGAAGCCAGAAGCCCTCTAAGCAAAGGGCGTTTTGCTGTTAAGCCCATCAGCCTGCCCTGGGGCTGAGGGAGAGGCTGCTTTGTGATCTACCTCCCCAGCTCACCCGGAAGACTCTGTCGAGGGAGAGTTTGCCAAGTTCAGATCTCATGGTGGTCTGGGCCAGCTGGGTCACTGCGTACTCAGGATCCTCCACCCCATAGCTGGCCTGGAGAGCAGGAGCAAACAACAGAGTCACATGGCAGTGCTGAGAAGGAACCCCCTGAACAAGGCAGGATGGGAAAACAAGAAACCTGCCACAGACACTCCAGCCAAAGAGAAGCGGAGTCTGGAGCCACAGGAGGGATTTGGGTGCTCAGCCCACCCGCCTCATGGGGCACATCAAGCCAGGCAGAGGGTGAGGCGTGTGCTGATGGAAGAAGGGAGCCAGTTGAGCAGCACTTCACACACAAACCATGTGGGGCATAGCTCAGAGGCTGCAAGTTTGGCAATACCTTGTAGGGGTCCATAACCCGCAAATAGAGCACACCATCGATCTGGAGGGTGACGTTATCTGCCAGGAGAGAACAATACATCCTGTTTACTGCAGCAGCAAAGAGAGAACATGGCAAGTCCCTCTCCCTCAGCAGAATCAGAAGAGCTGGGCAGGGTCATCCCTTTCCTTCCTGGTGTAAGGAGGTAGGCACAGAAGAGGGACTGGCTGAAAACAGATCTCCTTGTCTAAGAGGCTTTGTAAAAAGGACGTGCCTCAGAAAACACTGTATATTGACTGTTCTAATAAACAAGAAGTCTCAGGTTTCCAGAGCAAAACATTTCATGCCCTAGTTACCTTCATAAAGATAGAAGCAGAGGAAAAACAAGACACAACAAAACCATAACACTAGAATTTTAACAGAGCTGCCCATTAACTTGATTTGAAATCTTTTTTTCAGAAACACAGATGGGTTTTTGTGGTGCAAGACAGGAAAACATCTAAAAACCAGATTGTTACCTTACTACATTCAACCCAGCACGAAGAGGCAGCTACAGCCCCAAGAGGGCAGTCAGGACCTCCTGAGTCCTGCTATACTGCAGTTGGCTATACTGCTCAGGACCAGCAGTACAGCCAACCCAGGGACAAGGCTGAGTGCAGGAGTCTGTGCCATTTCCATTTGTCCCCACAAAGTCCTCTGCTTGCCCCAAACACAGCAGCAGGAAAGGGGCAGGACACAGAAGCTGTTCCTTACCCAGGGTGACAGCTGACTGCTCTGGGACGTTAATGACGATCTCTTTGAGACTCTGCACATAACGAATCCGATCCAGCAGAGGGATGAGGAAGTTCAAACCCTAGGGAAAGGGTGGGATTAGATGGCTTGGCCCTCTAACCCATTCTGTTCCCCCCCCAAAGAAAGCTGTGCAAACAAAGTATGCTACAAGCTGCACATACTGCAGGCAAAACAAGCATGCTTTACACATGGGGAGAACTTAGGTTTCTCAGTGCTTTCAATACCCCACCGTGGGAAATTAGTCTACAGACAGATCTGGAAGAATAAGCTTGGAACCCCCGAATCCTCGCACAGCTTTAGAAACCTGCAGAATCCAGAAGGGGAGAAAAGTGTCTCCTTACAGGCTCGAGGATTCGGTGGAATTTGCCCATCCTCTCTACCACCCAAGCCTCCTGCTGTGGCACAAACAGCACCCCAATATTCATAGGCAGGCTGGAGTTCAAGCGGTGCGGAGCTGGGGCCAGCCATGCTGCACGCTTCAGCTGATGGGAGCGCTGCAGGAAGGAGAAAGAAAGGGATTGAGACCCGGCTGCACCACCCCTGCTTTCCCATCTGGGATCACTGCTTATAGCCCTAATACACCAGGGCACCTCTGATGCCCCCAACAAGCCCGCCTGTGCTGTGTGAGGAACACAGGCTGCCCCCACAGGGAGCAGACCTGGGCCCCAGAGTCAGTAGGAGCGCCCGTGGGCTGTCCCCATAGGCATGGGGGCTCACCCTCATGCTGGAGGTTTCTCCATGTCCCCCCTTCCCTCACATTCCCACTCTGGGGGAGGAATAACACCTCCCTGACACAGCCAGGGTGTGTGTGGGTCTCTTCTGCCCCACTCAGGTCCTACGGTCTAGAATGGTCCCAGAATGGTTTGGGTTGGAAAGGACCTTAAGGCTCACCCAGTTCCAACCCCTGCCACAGGCAGGGACACCTTCCACTAGAGCAGCTTGCTCCAAGCCCCTGTGTCCAACCTGGCCTTGAGCACTGCCAGGGATGGGGCAGCCACAGCTTCTCTGGGCACCCTGTGCCAGCGCCTCAGCACCCTCACAGGGAAGAGCTTCTGCCTTATATCCAACCTGAATCTCCCTGCTTGAACCCATCACCCCTTGTCCTATCCCTACAGTCCCTGATGAAGAGTCCCTCTCACCACCCTTGCAGCCAGCCCCCCTCACACACCCGAGGGCTGCCATGCGGCCTCCCTGGTCAGACCCATCCTCCCCCCCCACTTCCCCCGTCCCTCCCCACCTCCTGCCCCGCTCCAGGACCCGCTTCCCCCCGGGTGCTCCCTCAGCTCTCCCCACTTAACCCCTCAGCCCGCCCGGCCCCCCCACCCCCGCTGCCCCCCGTGCCCATTCGCCCCCAGACCTCCTCTGCACCCCCCCGGGGCCTCACCTGCAGCAGCCCGAGGCCTGGCCCTGCCCGGAGCGCGGCCCTCGCCAGCATCGCTCCCGCCGCCCGCCCTCCTTCCCTCCCCTCGGCCCCGCTCCCTGCCGTGCCGGGCCCGGCCGTGCCGCCCCGCTGCCCCGGAAACCCTCCGGGAGCCCCCGCCCCTTCCGTGTGCACCGCCCGGGCCGCCCTGCCGGCCGCTGCCGCTGGTTCCGCTGGCAGGAGCCGGGATCGGTTTCCAAACTGGTGTTTATTAAATTAGAATCAAACACGGGAAGCTCCCCATGCTCCGTGTATCCCCAAAACCCCTCAGGAAGGTCCGTCCCGACTCCTGGTTGATGTCCCCCAGGGCTCCTGACCGCTCTCCAGCGCTGCCCCACGTCCCTTCCACTCATCAGGCAGAGGTGCAAGGCCCCGGTTCTTTGGCAATCTCCAGACCCCGCATCCGCAGAGCCCAGGCCCCCCATCCACATCTCTCTGCCCAAGGACCACAGCAATCACCACGTCCCTACCAGCCACAGCCCCTTTGAGGTCTAGCTTGGCCTAAAAAGGGTCAAGGACAGGCCCCCGCCTCCCCAGCCTGCTCCTTCCCTCCCGTGCCCAGCAGATCTCAGCCCCTCGGAGGGGGTTAACACAACCCCAGTGCAGGAGTTGCACCCGGCTGGTGGCAGCTCACCCCCTCTTCCACAGCATCCACATCCCCAGTCACCCTCCCCATCCCCAGTCACCCTCATGATCCCTGCCCCAAGCCCTGCGCTGCCGGGGGCGTTATCCCTCACGGACAGGATGGGGAGAACAGCACAGCACCTCCGACCCTCCGAGCTCCCAGCAACAATAAATACTAATAAATACAAACTCTTCCACACTTCCTGCTCCCAATCCCGGGACCAGCGTGGGCAGCCTCACCCGGAGCCCCCAGCACAACTCTTCACCCCCCCCCACAGCTACAGCCAAGTGTCCAGGGTGGGAGCAGCACTGCCAGAAGGGCTCGGCCATGTCCCTGGAACGCCAGGGCTGCTCCGCAAGCCAGGTTGGTAACACCAGCCCTGCTGCAGGGCACGGTGTCCCCACTGCTTGGAAGCACAGCGGCACTTGGGGCGGGTGATCCTTCAAGGCAATGCTTGCTTGCTGGCCCTTCACTCATCACTGCCCGAAGTGCTGGGCTGGAGGCTGCCCAGTGGCCCTGGAGGGTGCAGAAGGTCAGGCCCGGGGTGAGTAGCAGGGGTTCCTGGGCATCTCCGTGAAGGATTTCAGTTCATAGGGGATGCCCGAGTCCACCTCGATCGACTTGCGGGAGAAAAGCAGCCGGATGTCGTCATGAAGGTAGATCTTCCCCGACTTGGAGCTCTGAAACCTGCGTGGAGACAAGAACAGGGACGTCAGGACACCGGGCACGAGCAGGAGAGATTCGGTGGGAGGCACAATCCCCTCACCTCCTTTAACCCCTGGTCAAGGTGACCATGCTCCAGTTGTGTTCAGAGGGACAGAGACCCCTGGGCAGGGTCCCTGCTCCTCCCCAGGTCCAGGGGAGGGTCTCAGGCTGCCATCCCCTTTGCTTTGAGCTGCAGGCTTTGGGGAGACAGGGACACATGGGTGAGGAGCCATGGGGTGACTGTGGGGCAGCACACATCCCTCCATGCACCTACCTTAGGTGCATCAGGTAGCACAGGACCCTGCGTGGTGGGCTGGAGCCTGATGGGTCCCTGGGGGCCATGGTGGCCCCTTCTTCCTCCCCCACGGGCACCAGGAAGATGCGGTGGCGTAGGAAGGTCATGTGGTTGGCAGGCATGTCCTGGAAGTCGTATGTCACCAAGAACATCTTCACCACAGTCTTGTTGGGGTTAAATAAGGTCTGGGGGCAAAGGGGTAGGGAGTGAGATTGGGAAGGATATAGGGATGGAGCCATAGGGCATGGCTGGGGTATCTGGGGCCAGCACCAGCACCAAGGGTCCAGAAAGCCCCAGAGGGCATAGCCTGAGCCCACAGTTCAGTCCTTTCCACTCACCTCCACTCCTGTGATCCCATCACATTCCATCCCTACTGCACAAGACCCTGTCCCTCCTCACCATCCTCCTTCTTCCCTACATCTCCCATCACCTTGTCTCCCTGCCAGCACCCCAGGGACCCCATGCTCATCTCTGCTGTACTGTCTAGGTGACCGTATATCATAGAATCACAGAATGGTTTGGGTTGGAAAGGACTTAAAGCTCATCCAGTTCCAACCCCTGCCATGGGCAGGGACATCTTCCACTGGAGCAGGTTGCTCCAAGCCCCTTTGTCCAACCTGGCCTTGGACACTGCCAGGGATGGGGCAGCCACAGCTTCTCTGGGCACCAGCGCCTCAGCACCCTCACAGGGAAGAACTTCTGCCTTATATCCAACCTAAATCTCCTGTGTCAGTTTAAATCCATTCCCCCTTGTGCTATTACTAGAACATTCCTCTCTAAAATGTCCCTCTCCAGATTTCTTGTGGGCAGACTACCACCTCTGCACAAGCTTTCTGACTGCTGCCCTGCCAAACAATGTGATGGAGTATATCCACCCGGAGGGAAGCAGAGCTCAACCATCGCCCTCCCCACTGCCACGGAGAGGAGAAGGGATTGAGGAGAGAGGAGAGAGAAAAAGAGAGGGGAGAGGGGAAGAGAGAGGAGGGAAGAAGAGAGAGGAGAGACAAGAGAAGAAAGGAGAGGGGAGGGAGGAGGCCAGGGAAGGACTCACCACTTGGATGGTTCCAGCTTTGGGGACACTGTAACCCTTCTTTCCCAAGGCCTCCAAGTCAATCACTCCCTGGGGCAAAAGACAGTATGTGAGAGAGAGAGAAACCTCACTGGGAGCCCAGCATGGGGCTAAGAGCTCCCGCTGCTGGGAATGCCTGGCACTAAGAGCTCCCCTTGCTGGGAATGCCTGGCACAGGGCAGTAAGGATGCCCATCTCAGCCCCTCTTCAAACCAGGGTACGAACAAGCAGCAATACAGAGATCATGGAGAATCAACAGCCATGACACGGCTGGGCAGCAGCCTGCCTGTTACTATGCCTGCATGTCCTGATTTTAGCTGTAACAGGGTTTTTTTATCCTTCCAGTAGCTGGTGCAGGGCTGTGTTTTGGCTTCAGTCTGAGAACACCGCCACCAATAACACATGGATGTTTTGGTTGTTGCCAAGTAGTGTTTATTCTGATTGAGGGCTTTTCAGTTTCTCATGCACTGCCAGTGCTGTAAGCAGCCAGGAAGCAGTAGGGACAGACACCCGACCCAAAGTAGCCAAAGGGGTATTCCATACCACAGCTCATCATGCCCAGTATAGAAACTGGGGGGAGTCACCCAAAGGGCAAATCGCTGCTCGGGTTGGGCTGGGTATCGTTTGGTGGATGGTTAGCAGTTGTATTGGGCATCACTTGTGTTTATTGGGTTTTTTCCTTTCCCCTTTTAGTTTTATATTCTCTCCCCTAGTTATTTTGTTCTGTTATTATCATTATTATCATCATCATAATCATTAGTAGTACTATTAATTTTACATTATACCTTCGTTACTGGACTGTTCTTATCTCACCCATGGGGTTTACATTCTTTCAATTCTCCTCCCCATTCCACCCTCCCAGAGGTGGGAGGGGAGAAGGGGGAGCAAGTGAGTGGCTGCATGGTTCTGAGTTACCGTCTGGGTTTAAACCACGACACTGCAAGGGGTTCCCTCTTCTTTCCCTCTTTGCTCTTGTGGGTTAAGCATGCTCCCAGCACAGTGGCGGTCTTCTCAGGCAGGTAGTTGCTTGAGCCATGCCATCCAGAGAGGCGCATCCCCAGGATGCATGGTGCCCGGGTACAGCCCTCACTCACCTCCCCCATGGCCCCAGCCCTCCCTTCTCTGCATACCAGGAAAGGTGAAGGCGCGCTGTGTTCAGAGACATCGAAGTAGGTGACCTCAACGGGCAGCGTGGCATGCTGAGGGCAGTAGGAGCCGCTGGCGCCGATCTCTGCTGTGAACCCCTCGATCCTCCCCGACGGTGCAAAGCGCCCTTTCAGGATGGACTCCTGAGAGAGGAAGGGGGTGTTAGGGACCTTCAAACACCAGCCCTGCCCCTCGCCTCGAAGCTGCAGGTGAGATCACCCCCGTCCCCGCTGCAACCACAACTCTGCTTGCTCTCATGTGTCCAGAGTTTAATTGGTTCGTTAGCACCAGAGACATAATAATCCTCCTATCCTCCTACTTATCAGTTAGTTTAACTGTAGCCCATCCTGGACACCTGCCATTCCAAGATACTCCTTATCCCTGTGTCCTGTTCTTCTAGACTGTTTTTCTTAAAACTAGGCCAACTATAACGATTTATCTTGTGAGAATTCTTAGTATGTTCTCTAGTTGTACTCTGGTTTTTTTCTCTATGTATCCTGCACCCCAGTAATTTTCCATTGCTACTGTTACAAAGCCATCAAACTTAACATTACTTAAAACTTCTTATAAAAGTTTCTATATCCCATTTTGTGATTTTGTGCCCCTTTGTCTCACCAGATACCACCTGTGAGCCGCCCTGGCTGCTCACTCTGACACAGAGCCATCCATCTCACACAGAGAAGCAGGAAGAGCAGCAGCTGTCTCAGCAGGGTCCAGGTACTCTTTATTTCACTTTATTTCAGTTATCAAACGGTTCTTATCTGAACTCACAGGTTTTACCTTCCTATGATCCTCCTCCCCCTCCCACCCTGCGAGGGAGAGGGGAGCGAGTGGCTGCATGGTGCTCAGTTGCCACTGGGCTTAAAACACAACAAGGCTTTGGGGACGCTCAGCCCAGCCCCACACCAGGGCTCTGGTCAGGTTCAGCCTCTCATGCCCATCACCAGCCCAGCCTGGAGCCCCTAGGTGGGTGCTGTTACCTCAAAGTTGCCAAGCAGAGCATGGCTGATGGTGGTGGTGGCCCAGGGTGCTGAGGAGGACCTGGTGCCCCTCCGGAGGCTGCTCCGGAGATGTCGCCTTTGAAACAGGAGAGAACATTTGTGTCGGACTTGAGAGCTGCCCATGTCCCTGGAGATCCTTCTCCACATCCCCAGTCCCTTTCTTTGGTGGCGGTTGAACACACCTTCCTACCCCTCAGGAGCAGAAGAAACTCCCCACCGCCCCATAGCCTGAACCTCCCATGGGGCTGCAGGGTGCTGGGGTGTCTGGGCATCCCGATCCCCCATGTCCATCCCACAGGGCTGCCAGGACACTCACGATTTGAGGCGCAGCTCGCTCTTCAGCCTCCTCCCGACTGCAGTGCAGCCCACAGAGCTCTGGAGGGGGCACAGAAGTGAGAACCACATTAGGGCAGCAACCAGGGACTGACCCTGGGAGGTGCCATCAACCCTTGCCTTGCCTCATAGCTCCAGGAGGATGCGACAGGCTCTCATCCATGGGGAGCTGTCACTGGCCTCTGCAGGGGTGGGGTGTCTGGTGGAGCCATGGGGCTGCCCAAACCCCAGAATGGCTCTGCTGGGGATGAAGGTGTTGGTACCCAAGCTGAGAGTGCATCACACAACTCCCACCTTGCAAAGCCGGTCTTGGGACCAGCCCCATTGACAAGACAACCCCCGTAAGAGCCATGCAGTGACACTCCTTGTACCTCCCAGGGAATGGTAACACATACAGTGAAGCTCCCTGACCAGCCCAGGAACAGCCCTGTCCCCTGGAGATTCATGCGAAGTAGTGCCACCAGGCAGAGGGTCGTGCTGCCCACCCCAGACTCCTACAGCTTTAGCGTGTGGGGCCAGAGCCACACTGCAGCCTCCTTTTAAAGACATCCCCTTTTCAGGGGTTTTCCCTTCTGGAAGCCACACAAAGGGCAGCAGAACACAAAGGGATGATGGCGCTGGCTGGCATGACCAGGCGGGAAAACCGAGGGAAGCTGCTGGAGGGCAGTGGTGGAGGCAGCAGGGCTGGGGGACGGGCACCACATAGAGCACATGGTTAGGGATGGAGCTGTGTCCCATGGATGGGGTATCCCAGCTCCAAGCCAGGGAAGCTCTGCTGTTGGGCCCTCCAGGGGTGCCAGCACTGTGGGATGCCCCAGGGAAAGAGAGGAGTGTGCCAGCTCTGGCATAAGCCTGCTGCAGCCTCAGCCAGCAGCACGCAGTGAGGGCGAGGAGCTGGTCAGGATGGGTGGGTAAGCAGGGAGGAATCAAAGGCAGCTCCTTGGCTGCCAGGCTGGTTGCAAACCTCTGGAGTCTGCCCTGTTTCTGAGAGCTGGTGGCACCATGGGGGTATGCTACGTGCATCCCAGAACTACAGAAAAGACAGTGGTGTCTCTGCACACAGCACTGGGGCTCACACTGCTTGGCCAGAGCATGTCCAATCCTGCTTCCTGCCACCAAACCCTTGTCCTGTTGGATATCATGGCCAGGGACCCAAGCCATCCCACACCCCTGTCTTCTCCCTCATCATGCAGACAGAGGACAGCCACTCCTCCTAAGCCTTCTGGTAAGTATAGCTTAACACAAAGCTGTCAATACTGAGTGTGGCCCCACATCATGTGTCCATGTGTCGGGGGGGGTCATGTCCTGCCCAAGCAAGGCTCTCCAGGCTAAAGAGCTAGTTGCAAGCAGAGGATGCAGCACCTCCAAGACGTCAGAAGGTAATGATAACCTACAGGCTGTGTGTGAGCTGCCCTGCTCACACCAGTGCTGCAGCACTGGGACACATGGTGCCACAGTGGCCCACACTGCCATGTGCGCTAAGCTCTGGGTGTCCTCAGGTCATCCCCGCATCCCGCCCATGAGCGATGCTCACCTTGGCCGTGGGAAGCAGGTGATTCCAGAAAGGAGCCCCCTTGGCATCAGTGCTGCGGCAGGCTGTGGGCACAGGATGGCACGGCAGGACCCTCTTCTTCCTTACTGGTGGGGACAGGCTCTCATCCTCGGAGCAGGAGTCAGCCACAATCTCACCAGCAGGCAGCAGCTTCCTCTTGGCCGGGCAGCTGCTGGCACTGAGCTGGCTGCTCCCACAGGGTGTCTTGTCCAGGGAGCCCAGGTTGCTGGGCTCAGGGCTTAGTACTGTCTGTGGAGCTGCCTGCTCCTTGCACCCATTGCGCACTGCTGACCATCCCTCTTCTCCGCTAGCCCTGCTGCTGTGTGCCGGACTGCTCCCCAACTTCTCTTCCTTCCCACCAGAGTCCAGCTGTGCTGTGTGTGCAATATTGTGCAAATCAAGGTGAAGCAAGCTGTGGCCACTTGCCCGCTCTCCATTCTGCCCATAGTCTATGGGCTGATCCCCAGAAGAGACAGGGCAACCGTCTCTCGTGTGCAAAGTACTGCAGGCAATGTGCTGGGGCCAGGAGGAAGAGGAGACGTCCTGCAACTTGTCCTCTCCGCTGGCCTTGGGGCTGTGGATAGGGCTGCTCTCACACCGGTGCTCCACTACCCGCAGCCCGCTGTGGGAGAAGTGCTGTGCAGAGCCGCACAGGGAGAGCTCCTCCACCAACAGACCATCCTCAAAGGTATCATCATCATCCAGGGAAGCCTGCCCAGGGTCCACATCGCATTTACCATCCACCCCTCCGACACCCCATTGAGTTCGTTTGGGGTCTCGCCCTCCCTCTGTAGTGCGCTGCTCGGGATATCCCCTTTTGACAGCCGTCCGGCTGCCCGCCCGCTGCTCTGCGCTCCCCGAGGAGCTGGAGAGATGCGAGAAGATGGAGACCTGATAAACCTTCTGGCGCTTGATCTCTGTCTCGTTGTAGCCCATGAGGATGCTGCGGTGGGTGCAGTGCTGCGAGGAAGCCTCCAAGGGTGCCTCTCCACTGGGCTGGGACAGGCTGGGGTTTGCGCTGCGTTCCGGGGGCAGGGACGTCTCCGTGTGGATGTGCCGCATGGAGCCTCACTTGCCTGGACTCCGAGCGGAGCCGGAGTCACAACAGCCCATGCAGTAGCAGAAAGGAGACGGTAAAGTGCCACAGGACAGGGTATGAGGACAGGGGGTGAGAGTTGGACCTCCCCTCACTCAGGATACCTGGGTGAGCCCTCCACTATGGGATACACTGCAGCACAGCATCTGGAAAGAGAGAGCAGGAGGATGGGAGTCAGCCTCGGATATTGTGCTCATCTTGGCTTTTGGTTGTGGGGGACCTCCTGTGGCACAGACAGGTCCTCATACAGCCTCACTCAGACCTCCCTCTCCCAAGAAGGGAAGAGGAACCAGGCTGCTGTGGCTCTCCAGGGAGCCCTGCAGCATCACCCATCTGCAGGATCAGCACTTCCTCCCCAGCCTGGGCACACGGAGGAGGCTGGAGACTATGGGGGACAAGTCTGGACAAGTGGGGAGAAGGAAGCCTGCCCTCTGCCAGGGACGTACTTGCACTGTTCCAGAGAGCAGGAGTCAGGCAAGTCAGACCAGTCCCAGGGGCTCCGGCCTCTAATCACCCCTTTGAGCAACAGCAACAAGATCTCCCCCTGCTCACCAAGAAGACCTGTCCTGGCCATATGAGCTGAACTACGCAGGGCTGTACCCCTATACAGAGGACAGGAACCTGGCATAACATCACAGTTATCTCCTGCCCCTCCACCACCTCAGTCAGCATCTGGGTGGTACCAGGGGCTGCAGAACCCACCACGGGCTCCTGCCCTGAGGGTCTGACCTCCCCCATGAGGCATAGCCCCTCACTTGTGATTTTCAGCCCAGTTTGAGAGCTGTGAGGATCCTGACCACGAGTTTTTCTGGCATGATAAGTACTGAAATGGCTGCAGGAGCTGAGGAGATGCTGCACAAATCACTGCAGACCAAGGAGCTCCAGAGCCTGACAAACTGCCTGTGGCAGCTCTGCCCTTTGTCCACACAGCTTTGCCTGCTCTTGTGGAGCAAAGGCTTAGGGACAGGTGAGCAACAGGGAAATCAGCTCTCTGAGTGGGTCAAGGCTATTTGGTTCAGGCTGTGCGTGCTATTTTGGCTCCACCTCGATGGGGATGGGAAAGTGGTAGGCCAGGCTGGATATAAATCCTTGAAGGGAGGGTGCAAAGAAGATAGAGCTGGGTTTATTGTAGTCATGTCCAGTGATGGGACCAGAGGCAGAAGGCGCTGGAACACAGGAGGTTCTGTCTGAACATCAGGAAACATTCTTTTTATTGTGAGGGTGACCAAACACTCAACAGGCTACCTAGGGAGGCTGTGGAATCTCCATCCTTGGGAAATTCAGTTCTAGGTTCACAACACAAGAGGGATGCGGAGCTGTTGAGGCTAGTCCAGAGGAGGCCATGGAGATGCTGTGAGGGCTGGAGCAGCTCTGCTCTGGAGCCAGGCTGAGTGAGCTGGGCTGGGTCAGCCTGGAGAAGAGAAGGCTCCTGAAGGGGAGACCTTAGAGCAGCTCCAGTGCCTAAAGGGGCTGCAGGAAACCTGGAGAGGGGCTTTGGGCAAGGGCCTGAGGGACAGGACAAGGGGAATGGCTTTGACAGAGGGGAGACTGAGGTGAGACATTAGGAAGAAATTCTTCTAAGAACTTAGGAATTTAAGAAGTTCTTTTCACCACCCTCACTTCTTAGGAAGAAGTGAGGGTGCTGAGGCGCTGGCACAGGGTGCCCAGAGAAGCTGTGGCTGCCCCATCCCTGCAGTGTTCAAGGCCAGGTTGGACACAGGGGCTTGGAGCAACCTGCTCTAGTGGAAGATGTCCTTGCCTGTGGCATGGGTTGGAACTGGATGAGCTTTAAGTCCCTTAAAACCCAAACCAGTCTGGGATTCCATGAACAATTCAAAAGCTGTCTGGACATGGTCCTGGGCAATGGCTCTGGGTGCACCTGCTTGAGCAGAGGGACCAGATCACCTCCAGATACCCCCTCCATGTAACCCCACAGCGCAGCCTGTCCTGGCTGCCCCACACTCACCTCTCTGCAGCAGAACCCCAGGTTGCTCCGGATTAACTTCCCTGTCCCGCAGGGGGTGGCTGTTGGCACAATTAGCTGAAGACACCAGCCAGCCAGGCACCCCCCAGAAGCGGCGTGGCTGCCGTGGAATGGCTCCCACCATCACGGTGTGCCTCTGAGCTGCCACACTGCCCTCTCCAGCTCTTCGGTTTACACAGTGGCTCTGAGGGAAGGAAAGCAGGAGATGCAGGGCTGGGGTGGTTCAAATGCTTTCCAGAAGGGCAGGAGGGTGATGCCTGTTTGCAGGGTCACACAGAAAGAGAAGGCAGCATTGAGGCTCAATCTCTCCCAACATCCCAAACCCAAAGGCCACATACATCTTGGCGATCTCAGACAGTGCTATCACCTTGATTTCCATTTAAACCACAAATACTTTGAGCTAAGCTGTGAACTCTCATACCTGGCTCATGTTTTACATCCCTTTTGCATGCCTTCCTGTATGAAACACTGTGCATATGAACAGATCCCCGCTCTAGCAACCACTTCATGCCTTGCTCCCCAAGACACTGCAGATCACCAGCAACCTCTGGGCCTCCAGCTAGCTGCTGGTCTCATGTCCACCTCCTGCCTCTTGCACCCACAACATCAAAGAGTGCCTTCTGGCCCTACAAACAAGAAGAGCTTTGCAATTGTTTTCTTCCAGTTTGAGATGCCTGGCAGGGAAGGCAGAAACCAGGAGCCTGACAGCCCTGAGCCATGATGGCCCCCCACCAGCTTCCCCAGCACAAAGACAGAAGTCCTTTCATGTGCACAGCACTCACCTGCTCAGATGTGTCCTTGATGCACAACAGAGATTTGCAGATTCAACACAGCTCCCCTGCAGTCATAATCCACCAGCACCGCGGCTTTGATGCCTGGAAGAAGGCAAGGAGGAGAGTCAGCTCGGGCAGCAGGCTGTGGTGCAACACGCTCAGGGTGGGCAGAAGCCCTCAGGCACTCCATGCTCAGCCCCTCCAAGGCAGGGGCAGCCTATGAGCTTTGATGGCCCAGGAACCTCCACGTGAAAGAGGAAATGATGCCCATCCTGACGACCGTGCCCTCCCTTCCTATGTGGCCTCAGTGTGGGGCTCACTGTAGCGGCCATCCAGAGCCAAGCCACCATCTGTTCCACTGGGCATCCCACCCCAGCACCAAGCACTGATGAAGACTGGAAACAGCAGGGCCAGGCAGATGAACAAAATCCCTGAAGGGATGCTCAAAGGCACCGGTCACCCAAGTGCAGCCGCTTTCTAGTACCATGCTCCAGTTCTGCATCCCATCATCTTGCAGGTGTGAAGACAGCTTCAGTAGAGCCATCACTCACTGCCTGACCTCACCTGCCCCAGGAAATGGGCTGTTTTTTCATTACGTTTCCAATAGGATTTGTAATCATCAGACAGGCATGCTCAGAGTCAGCCAGCCCAAAAGGCATCGCCAACACTGCTGGTGTCGTGGTTTAAACGTGGCTGGTAACTCAGAACTACACAGCCGCTCGCTCACCCTCCTCTTTCCTCCCTCCCACTTTGGGTGGGATGGGGAAGAGAATTGAAAGAATGCAAATCCCATGGGTTGAGATAAGAACAGTTCAGTAACTGAAGTATAATGTAAAACGACTAATACTAATAATGATAAGGGAAATAACAAGGGGAGAGAATATAAAAGAGGAAAGGATAAAACCCAATAAACAGCAGTGATTCACAATACAACCACTCACCACCCGCTGACTGATACCCAGCTCGACCCAAGCAGTGATCTGGGCCTTTCAGGTGACTCCCCCCAGTTTCTATACTGGGCATGACGTGCTGTGGTATGGAATAACCCTGTGGCTAGTTTGGGTCAGGGGTCCTGTCTCTGCTCCCTCCTGGCTTCCCCTCCTCCCTGGCAGAGCATGACAGACTGAAAAGTCCTTGATCAGGGTAAACATTACTGAGCAACAACTAAAACATCGGTGTTATCAGCACTGTTTTCAGGCTGAAACCAAAACACAGCCCTGCACCAGCTATAGGAAGGAGAATAATAGCTGTTACAGCTGAACCCAGGACAGATGGGAAAGGCACTGCTGGTGACCAACCACAGCAGTAACACAATACACCAGCTCCCGAGGAGCACCTGCAGCAGGGGAAATCAACACAGTAAACCCCTGGTCCGAAACCTCAGCAAAAACCCTTTGTAAAAGATCGGCTGCTCATGGCACCCTACATGGGGCCTGCACCAGGGCAGGCAGAAAAGCAATTGAGTGCCTGAATGGGCAGACACCAAGGTGGTAACAGGCTGTGTTCTGCCTGCCTGCTTCTCTCCTCTATCCCTGGGAGAGACTGGTACTGCATTTGCATGGTACTGTTAAGCACTGGGAAGCAACATCAGCACCAGCAGTAAGAGTCAGCAGAATGCAGCAGGACAAAGCCACATCCTTCCTGTGCGTGTCTGTGCTGGGACAAGTAAGCAGTTTCACCTGCATTCTTTCTTTGTCCCTCCCATGCCCCTCCGCAGCCACAGACCTCTGCTCCTGAGCAGCAGCTGCCTTTCAGGAGAATGGGTCCATGAGGAGGGGCTGAGGCACTATAAATCCATCCCAGTTGAGACCTCAACACCCATCACCAGGTGATGCTAGCACTGGGCAGCAGTGCGCTCACCTAGCACAAGGGGCTGCACCATACCAGCCCATACCAGCCCAGCAGGAACCACACAGCCAAGAAGGAGAGGGGCAGTCATTATAAGAGAACAAATAATCACCCTTGGTGCAAGCAGAGCACAAGGCAAGAGAAGAGGCAACAGAAGCTGCTGGAAACAGACTGCCTGGAGGATAAATCTCAGCTCTGTTGGTTCTATCTGAACTCAAGCAGAGGGCAGGAAATCCAACCAGCAGCAGTGCAAACCCAGAAGCTCCCTGGCACAGGCTAAGAGCAGAGCTTGAGAAGCGCCAGCAGGCAGAAAGTTTCCATCACAGCCCTGAAGAACAGCAGCACTAGCAGCAATGCTGCCACCAGAGAAGGGTTTCACCATAGCATGAGAGACCAGGTATATCACTATGAGGAGACACATGAGACTGGGGACTACCTCCAGCACCATGCCTAGAAGAGAGAAGCTGGTTAGAGCGATGCTCAAGGAGCAAACCATGCCTGAAGGGAAAGGTGACCCACGTGGATGTGGCTCTGGCAACGATTCAGGTTGGAGAGGAAGAAGCTCACACTTGCTGGGATTGAGAGAGGGAGGATGAAGAGGGAAGGAGCATCCCTGCCCCACTCAAGGGCAAGTGCTGCTCTTTGGGGGTCCTCAGGAGGCCCCCTGCAGTGCCAGATTTATGCAGCCACAAAGCCTCGCTCAGTGCTGGCCCCTGTGCTGACAATAGAGAGGAAGACCAAGATGGGGCAAGAGGCAGTGCCCACATCAGGAGTGCGAGCTCCTATAAACCACCAGGGACAGCTTCTACAGAGAGAGATTCAACACCTCGCTCTGCCCTTTAGCACCCATGCCCATATTGCGAGGTGCTGCTTCTGCCCTTCCTCCCATCCCATGGGAGGGGACACCCATGGGGTGCAGAAGCCCCTGGGAGCCCTCTCCACTGGGTACCTTAGTGGGCCTGAGGGGCTGAGGTCTGCCCAGCAATGTTAATGCCTCCCAGCCCCACGCTCAGGTGCCGCAGGGACTGAGCCCTTCCGCTTGGCTGAGCCCGGATAACACAATGAAACCTCTCCCGGGAGCTCCGGGGCTGGGGACTCACCCCTGCTCCCTCTGATGCCTCACGTCTTGGCATGGATCAGCTCCGCACACCTTGCCCCGGTGCCCCAAGAGCCGGCGGCGATGCTGACAATAGCCCGCGGCTGGGAACGGGGGTTCGCGGGGTCTGCAGGCAGACCCTGCTATGCAACAGACACCTGTGTATGGCTTTTCCCCACGTCCAACCCGCCCTCCGCACCAGCCGAGCCTCCCCTCCATGCACCGCTGCCCCTCTTCCCAGGAAAACACAATCAAGGAATGAAAAAGCAGCTTAAAATCCAGCATGACAATCGGGCAGCTCTTCCAAAGCAGGCAGCACCCCCCCCCTGCCCACCCAGCACCAGAGCAGGATCAAACCTCAAGCGATACAGCCCTCGGCTGCCCAGCTCCAGCCTTCGAGCCCAGGAAACCTGCAGCAGGCAGGACAGGGAAATCCCATTCTGCAGCCGCTCACGGAGAGGATAGCCCAGGTTGAGGACAGACCTTTGTTTCTGCCTGCCTGTCTCGCTCGCTGGCTGGCTGCTGGAGGAGGAAGAGAGGGGCGGTGGGGGACAGCGAGCAAAGATAACACCCCTAGGAGGGCTGTCACAGCCCACGTTAATCACTTGGAATTCCAGCCAGCACAGACCCGGGCGCCGCAAATATGGGCAGCAAATGGAGATGCTCAAAGCCCTGAAATAATTGGATCCTTTCACAAGAGCCGAGCCCAGAATCCAGCACAGGAATTCAGTCCCCGCTGGAAGTCGAGAGATCAAATACACCGAGAGGCAGGCGCAGCACAAGCAATCCTCAGCCACCGCCGGCTCCGGCTCCGCAGCCCCTGTCTCTGCTCTGATCTCAGGTACCTCCTCGGCAGGGAGCAAGGGCGAGGGAGGACCGCAGCAGAGCCGAGCTGGGCTCCGGCCCCTTCCCACCCAACTTACTCCACTTGTGGCAAGGTGCAGAAACGCTGCCAGCGCAAGAGAGGGGTTGTGAGGAGGAAAGCGGTGACCTCGAACGGAGAGCCTCGCTCGACCGGAGGAACAGCCCCTGGAAAGGAGACCCCTGAAGGGTGCCGGGTGGGCTCTGAGCCCTGCGAGGGAGATGCCGGTCCCGGCAGGACTGCCAGCCCGCATCACGCTCCCGGCGAGGCGCGCTTACGGCACATGGAGAGGCTCCTGCTTGCCGCCTCAACGGCAATGAAAAGGCACAGAGGCTTCTGCCAGAAAACAAAGAGGCAGCGGCAGAGCTGGGGGTGGGGAAAACTCCGCTGCCCAAGAGGATCCCTGCAGAGGCAGCAGGATGCTGCTGGGCTCCACTGTGGCTGTTCAGCCCGAGGTGGTACCCGCTTGCCCTGCGCAGGGAGCCTGGAGGGTGGGACAGCCCCGCTTCCCTCCCCTGGGTAGTGCCGGGTGGGAAGTGCTGGAGGACACAAGCCAGGCCCAGGACAACAGCTGGCCACACATTCCTCCAGGCTGGCTCTGCTTCATGGAGAGATGTGTGTTTGCACCTCGGGGTATCTGCTGCTGACACCACTGCTCCCGGGGGAAGGAGCACCGAGCCTGCAAGGCTTTGCCACCAGGGAAAGCGATGGACGCCAGTGGCGTGGTCCTTGCAGGTGGTACTGTGGCCTCAGCATCACCCCGGAGCAACAAAGAACATGCACCGAGTGAAGTAAGCTCCCGGCTACCCAGGGACAGGGATATGTCAGCCAGCTCCATTCCCGTCCTTCCGTCCCTCCCCAGGGGCAGTGTCCTGAGGGACACAGACCTTGAGCACTGGGTGAGGGCACAGAGCAGCTGCTCTGCTCCAGACCTTGGTGGCAACTGCCACCCATGGGAAGTTTTCCACTGCTGGTGATTACAGCCACGTGCCTGTGTGCAGCCCTGAGAAGGCAAACAGGTCCTGGCAGAGGGGCAGGGACCACTTCTGCTCTGTGCTTGCACGATGCCTGGGGTCCCCGGCCACAACCAAGGCACCAATGAACATCATTTTCTGAGTTCAATATGGACATCTGTCTGAGGGAGCAGCGCTCCAGGTCTAAGTAGGACTAGAGCCCCACCACACTGAGTGATGTAGTATTAACAGTCCCTTTTATCTGATCTCCCCAGAGGACTGATGCCCTGGGGTTGGTGTCTGAATCAGAAGCCCTGTGAACCTTACCCCAACTGGTTTAACT